GGCTCCGGCAGCGGGTCCCCAGGCCGGGGCAGGGCACCCAGCGAGCCCCCCAGCCCCCCCAGGCCCTGCCCCGCAGGTGGGGGCCGCAGCACCCCCTCCGATGAGCGCCGCAGCCCCGAGTCCCTGCAGGGGGGAGCGGGGCTGAAGTTGGGACCCTCAGGGGACAGTGGGGACACTGGGGGGTCATCGGGTCCCTCAGGGGAGCCCGGGGGGCGAGAGACTTTACCCAGGGGCTCGGGGGGTGGGCTGGGGGAGGCCGGGTACTGGACAGCAGCCTCCGGAGAGCCGGGGGGATAGGTGGCCCTGGGGGGCAGCTCGGGAGTGCTGGGGGGGCTGACGGCCCTGGGAGGCAGCTCGGGAGTGCTGGGGGGGCTGACGGCCCTGAGGGGCAGCTCGGGGGTGCCTGGGGGGGTGGCTGTATCGGGGGACCCCTCTCCAGGCGTGTGGGGAGAGCCGGGGGAGCGCGAGATGCTGAGCTGAGGCTCAGCTGTGGAGGAGGGAGCCCCCGGAGCCTGGATGGAGGCAGCCGAGGCCCTGGCTGGAGGCTGGGATTCGGGGGAGCCGGGGGCCCGTGTGGGGGAGCCAGGGGCCAGGAGCTCGGGGGGGGCATGGGGGGAGCCGGGGGCTGCAGTGCAGGGCTGGGAGGGAGCCCCCAGGGCCAGCACTGGGCAGGACGGGGGCCTGGGAGAGCCGGGGGGGCCCAACTGTGGAGAGGAGAGCTGTGGAGAGAGCCGGTGGGGGCACGTCACCCAGAGGAGCCTCCGGGTATCACCCCCAAATCACAGCCCCGAGGCCCGGTGAGGGTCTGCCCCCCACTCCCTCGAGGCAGGAGCTGCCCCACTTCCCCCCAGCACCCAGATGCTCCCTGTCTGGCAGGACCCGGCCGTGCCGGATCCCCCCCGGCTCCCCCCGAGCACACCCCCCCCCCCCTTCCCAGCAGATGGAGAGGAAGAACTGAAGCAGGAGCAGGAAAACCCAGCCCTGGCTCCCAGCACCCCCTTGCCAGCATCACCCTGCCCGCTGCTGCCCGCGCGGGGTGGTGCCGGCCGGCGGGGGCCGGCGGGAGCCCCGGGGCCGGTCCTGCCCCGCCGCCCCCCCGCGGTGAGTCACGCCTCGCACCGCCCCCCCGAGCAGGCGGCGCAGGGCCGCAGACACGCACCGCGCGGAGAGGGAGCCCCGGAGGAGACAGGAGAGCCCCGAAGGAGAGAGCGGAGCCGCCGCGGCCGGGCGGGCGCGGCCACAACTCACGTCAGGGGGGGAGCGCGGCCTCCGGCGTCCGCGGGGGGCCCCGGCGCTGCTCGGGCCGGCGGGGGGGGAGCCGCTGCCGGACAAACGGGGAACGAGCGTTAATTCCCTCCCTGCGCCCCTGCCCCCGGCTGCAGGACGGGGCTGGGAACCCGTAGGAGGCCCCGCAGCCTGCGCCAGACCCGACACCGAACCACCGCGGGGGGGAAAGGGGGGGTAATCGGCCCCGCTCCCGTTTCCCGGGAATTCTCGGTCCCGGGAGAGCCCGTTTCTCACACCGGGGTTTAAAATAGCCGGGTCCTGCTCCCTGGAGATGCCCGGCTCCGGGAGCGGGGCCAAGCGCTGGCTCCCACCCAGCACATCCTGCAGCGAAGCCGCCCTGGCACGGCCCGAACAGCCCGCCCGGGAAACAGGGAGCGATTCCCAAGGGGAGCGACCCTCTCCCCGTTATTCCCAGCCTCGGGCAGCGCTGTCCAGCCGCGGGAGCCAGGCTGGCTCCAGGCCCGGCCCCCGAAGGCGCGCAGGCAGCTCCTCAACCGGGACAGCTCGTTCCTGTGGTCGGCACAAGCCGCCGGCGTGGCCCCGTCCTTCCCACGGTGGCCACCGGAGCTCGGCTCCGTTATTCCCGTCCCCAGGATGACCCGGAATAACGCCCCCCGGCCCCGCAAGCTCGCGCCCCAGCCCCTCACCTCGTCTCGGCTGTGGGGTGTCCGTCGTCCCCCGGCCCCGGCTCACCCACCGCGGGTTGGGGGGCCTCGCAGGGGGTGGCTCTCTCTGCCTCCCCGCTGGGGCGCCTCCGAAAGGCGGTGAAGGGCTTGGAGCCGAAGCGCAAGGAGGGGTCGGGGCAGAGCCGGGCTCGGTCGGGGCTCCCTGGGCCCTCCCTGGTGTCCATCTTGGCCAAGATCTGCTCCACGGTGGTGCCCGGGAACCGCTCCGGTTTGGTGGCCACTGGCACCGGCGTCACCTTGAAGGGCGCCGGGCCCTTGCGGGAGGGGGTCAGCGGCAGGGGGGACTCCTCACCGGGGGTCACTCCCATGGCCTCCCCAACTGCTGCTGCAGGGGAGGGCAGCCCCTTCTCGGTGGGGGGCTCTTGATGGGGGGACTTGATGGTAAAGGAGGGCCGGCGGAGGGGCCCCCCCGCACTGCCGGTCCCGTAGGGCTGGGGCCCAGCCAGGCGGTTCATCTTCTCTGCCGAGGGCAGCTCAGGGCGCGGGTGCCGTGGGCCCGGTGGCGGCAGCGGGGTCTTGGCGGGCACAGCCGGCTTGGGCCGCAGTGGGGGCTTGGGCCGCAGTGGGGGCTTGGGCCGGGAAGTGCCTATGGGGCAGTGAGGAAACACCGCGCTGGGGGAGCTCCATGGCCAAAGGGAGCCAATGGGATGCTCCTGGCTGGGAACAGACCCCAGCATCAGCCTGGCATCCCTGGGGGCTCCCCAGCACAGCAACACCCCCACCCCCGGTTCATTCCACCCATGGGGACTGACCTGTGTCAGGGCTGCCGCCCGCCAGCCCCCCAGTGCCCGCGGGTGCGGTGCAGGGCAGGGCCGGGTGCAGGGGCTGCGGCTGCGAGGCCATGGCCAAACTGGGACCGGGACTCGCTGGGCACGGGCAGGATCAGCCCCTGGGGGGACAGAGAGAGGGGAAAGAGGTGTTTTGGGGCGCTCTGAGGCTGGCGGCACCATGTGAACAGCAGCCGCATTGTGCCGGGTGCCAACCTCCCAGTGCCAAACCCTCGTGTCCACCTGCACCGGGGCCACGTGCCAAAGCACCGCCCCAACCCCGCACCCCTCCCTGTGCCGGTGCCACCCTTGGTTCACTGCCCCGGGCCGCCTGTGCCACGACACCGGGACCCCAAACCCCGTGCGAACCCCGCTCTGTCCCTACCCCCGGTAACCCCCCAGTAACCCCCATGCATCAGTAACCACGCCCCCCCCCCCCCCGGCTCCCCACAAACGCTGCCCCGTTCCCCATTTACCTTCCCCGAGCCCATCCCAGCGCCCTCCAACCGCCTCCCCAAACGCTGGCCCAGCCCAAATACCCCCCCCCGCCCCCGCAAGTGCCGACCGCCTCGGGGGTCCCTCAGCCCCGCTCACCTCCCTGGCAGCGGCCGCATGTCCGGGGTGCGCCGGGGACACGGGGGGTGCTGCTGCCGCCGCCGCTCCCGTGACTCACCGGGGCTGCGGGGACAGGAAAAACCCGCTCGGTGCCTCCTCCCCGCCCGGCCCCGGCCCTGCCCTCCCCTCCCCGCCGGGGTCCACCCCCTTCCCCGGGCGTCACAACCCACATCTGGAAACCATCGGGCCCGGGGTCCGGGTGTGGGTCCCCTCCGCTCCCGTGCGGCCTATCCCCGCTGCCGCGGCAACGGAGCCCTCGCTCGAGTAGAGGAGTAGGCCGCAACCAGCGGGCCTAGGCCTGTTGCCATGGCAACGGAGCCCCCCACTCGATTTAGGTGACGGCACCTGGCCCGTTGCGGCCGTCGGGGGCCGAACCCGCGGGTTCCCCGCGGGTTCGGCCCCCGACGGGCACAACGGACCCGGTGAAGGGTTAACGGCGGTTCCCGTATCCCGGTTCCCCGTTAAGGCCCATCTCGGTGCAGAGACCCCCGCTCACCCACTGCCGCTGGCCACGCCCCTTCGCCCCTCCCTCAGCCAATCAGAGGCTGCGGCGGGACAGACGCGCGCCGCGTGGCCGGGCAGACCGCATAGAGGAGACGGGCTAGAGAGGCGCCCGGCGAGGGTGGGACTACCATAGAGAGGCGGGTAGAGGGGTCGCGGTGGAGGAGCGCCGCCTGCAGGGTGGGAGGTATCAGAAGCGGGTTCATCCCAATGGGAGAGGTCGGTAGCGGGGAGGGAAAAAGGGGGAGAAGCGGAAAAGGAGAGGAAAAAGAGGGGAAAGGGGAAGAACGAAGAAATAGGAAGGGGAAAGGAAGAGGGAAGGAAGGGGAAGAAGGAGGAATGGGGAAGAAGGTGGAAACGGGAAGAGTGAGGAAACGGGAAGCAGAACAGCGAAGAGGGAAGAAGGAAGGGAAAAAAGAAGGGGAAGGAGGAGGGAAGAGGATGGAATGGGGCAAAGCAGGAATGGGGCAGAAGGGGACAAAAGGGGATGGAAAGGGACAAAGAGAGGGACTCCTCGCTAGGGACCGTAGTGACAGGACAAGGGGTAACGGGTTCAAACTGAAATGGGAAGGTTAGATTGGATCTAAGGAAGTTCTTTACAGTGAGGGTGGTGAGGCACTGGAATGGGTTGCCCAGGGAGGTTGTGAATGCTCCATCCCTGGCAGTGTTCAAGGCCAGGTTGGACAGAGCCTTGGGTGCCATGGTTTAGTGTGAGGTGTCCCTGCCCATGGCAGGGGGGTTGGAACTGGATGATCTTAAGGTCCTTTCCAATCCTGACTGCTCTATGGTTCTATGAGAGGATGGAAAAGGATGAAAGGGAACAGAACGGGGCAGAAGGTGATGGATAGGGATAAGAAGGAAGGGGTGGAAAGGGGCAGAAGGGGACAGCAGGGAATGGAAGGGATGGAAGGTGATGGAAGAGGGCAGAAGGGGATGGGAATAGGAGGGAAGGGCCCCCCCGCCCCGCTGTGCCACTGCAGCCAAGCTCCTGCCCTGGGTGGGTTTTTTTATTCAATCCCGGTTTCCACGGGAACAGACCCAAAATACAAAAAAACAACAAAACCCAACGGAGGGAACGAGGAACCAGCCGAGAGTTACAAAAGAGCCGCGGGGCTGGGAGGGAGGGACCCCCCCTGGGACACCCGGCACCAGAAGGCACGGGGGGGCCCTGGAGCTGGTCCCCGCTGTGGGCGCCCGGTCCAGGAGCCCCCCGGGTCAAGGATGGATCAATCGGAGCCTGAGGCGGAGTCTGAGGAGCTGCGGCGGGGGCTGGGGGCTCCCTCCTCCTCTGAGTCCTGCGGGAAGGGACAAGGATGCGGCGTCAGCGGGGACACACAGCAGGGATGGTGGGGTCAGCGGGGGATGAGGTCCCCACTTCTACCATGGAGGTAGCACACAGAAGCCATCCCCAGTGCGGACCATGCCCAGCCCTGCAGGCAAGCCCCATGGCAGGACTGGGGTGAGGGTCCCCACCAGCGGCAGGGGCTGCCCCAGCTCTACCCCACCTCCTTCTTGCTCTCAGCGGAGGAGCTCTCATCGCTGGACACAAACTCTTTGCTCTTGAAGCTCTCGTTTGAGCTCTTGGCCGAGGACTTGCTGGAGGACAGAGACTTGGAGCTGGTGCCTTTCCTCTCCGCTTTCCCCTTCAGCTGCTTCTCCTGCTTCTTCTTCTTCTTCTTGGACCTCTCCCTGTGCACGGTGAGAGGGAGGGGACGTTACCACCGACCCTCGGCCCAGCCCCACGGAGCTTCCCCCAGCCCAGCACTCACGCCCGGGAGCTCTCCGCCTTGCTGCCCACGCTGTATTCCTTCATGGCCTTCTCATAGTCCCTCCTGGCATCTTCTGCCTTGCGATCCCACTCCTGCCACAGGAACATGGGAATGGTGGGAATGGCTCCCTCGTCCGGCATCAACAGAGCTTCAAACTACCCATCTTTCTTGTGCTCCCTCCTTGGACCAAGCCTGTGCTCAACCAACAGCCTCAAGCCATCACCTCCCCACAGCCATGGGAACCTTCCTCACCTCCCATCTACGGAGCTCCAGGTTCTGGCAACCAAACAAGGGCCTCTCTGTCCTCCCCATGTCTACCTTCCCTTTATCCATCCCTCCCACATCCATCCTCCACCCTGAGCCAGGCTTGGCTCCCCCCACCAGCAGACCAACCCATGAACCCCATCCCTCACCTCTTTCTTCTCCTTGGACATGGCTTTCCAGAGCTCCCCGGCCTTCTTGGACAGGTCTGTGATGCTGATGCCAGGGTGGTCGGACTTGATGCGCTCACGGCTGGCGTTCAGCCACAGCATGTACGCAGACATCGGCCGCTTTGGCGCGTTTGGGTCCTTCCCCTTCTTGCTCTGGGAGGCAAGAGCAGAGGGAACCAGCGTGAGAGGCTCAACCAGCATCACCCACTGCAGCTCTGGGGACGTGGGGCCGCCCCACAGCCACCAAAGGGCCAGCTCTTGGGAGATCAGGCTCCCAACAAACAAAGGGACAGGACAGGCCTTTGGGAAAGGTTCCAGGCTCTGGAGCCAGGCTGGGTCAGCCTGGACAAGAGAAGGCTCCTGAAGGGGAGACCTGAGAGCAGCTCCAGTGCCTAAAGGGGCTGCAGGAAACCTGGAGAGGGGCTTTGGACAGGGGCCTGTAGGGACAGGCCAAGGGGAATGGCTTTAACCTGCCAGAGGGGAGACTGGGATGAGCTCTTAGGCAGAAGCTCTTCCCTGTGACGGTGCTGAGGCGCTGGCACAGGGTGCCCAGAGAAGCTGTGGCTGCCCCATCCCTGGCAGTGTTCAAGGCCAGGTTGGACACAGGGGCTTGGAGCAAGCTGCTCCAGTGGAAGGGGTCCCTGCCCGTGGCAGGGGGTGGAGCTGGAGGAGCTCTAAGGTCCCTTCCAACCCAAACCACTCTGACTCCTCCACAGGAGGCAGCGGAGCCAGGCTGGGCCCCGGCAGGTGGGAGCTGGTGAGGGGGCAGCACAGGGGCTGTGGCATGGCCCCGGCTGGGCTGCAGCAGCAGCAGGGCCTCAGCCCCTCACCTCCGGGTGTTTCCTGCGGGCCTTGCGCTCTTTCACCACCTTGGCTTTCTTGGCCGGTTTCTTGTCGTCGTGGTCGCTGTCGCCGTCACCGCTCGAGGACGTGGCCGAGGCGTTGCTGTCGAACCTGGGGGCCCAGCACAGGGCTGGGGGATGCAGCAGCACCGGGGGCACCAGGCCCTGCTTTCAGCAACCCCCGCCTCCAGCAGCCCGTAAGCGGGAGCCTTCCGGCGCCGAAGCTGCTGTGCTGGTGCTGAGCAGCCTCCAGGGACCCTCCTTCCAGGAACACGGCTCCATCCCCACCTCCTGCATGGTTTCGGCTCCCCCAGCTCCTCCCCCCGGCTGGACCTGCTCCTGCAGCACACTCGGTGCTCGCTGTGCTCTGCTCCCGGTGCAGCGCAGCCTCTCGCCCTCCCTCCCCCAGCTCGAAGCTGCATCCCAACCTCATCCTCGCCTCCTCCCACTGCTCTCTCTGCTCTGGCTGCCCAACGCCTCAGCAGGAGCCACCCGATGCCCTGAGTGCTGCTCCAACCCCTGAGAGCCCTCTAATGTCATTAGGATAGAGCGAGCCCACACTCTGAAGCCCAGGGGTGTGTAAAGTGATGCCGGCTGCAGCATCCCCAGCGCTCGCAGCCCCGCACAGCACCTTCCAGAAGCTTCCCCCACAAGAGACCGGCCCAGCCCCTACTCACTCTTCCGCCACATCATCGTCCTCTTCCCCGGGGTTGAAGGACTCATCTGGAAGCAGAGCACAGGGTCAGCTCTCAGCTTCCCCCCACCTGAGCACCCAGAGCCCAGCGGCCCTCACCCGTCTCCTCCCCGGAGCCGTCGCTGCTGTCGTTGGCATTCTCCTCCCGGATCTTGCCCTCCTCCTTCATCCTCTCCAAGTAGGCGTCGTGCTGGTCCTCGTCCGAGTCGGCGTATTCATCATAGCTCTGCTTCATGCCCTGCGGGACGAGCAGCGTGAGGAGCCCTCCCCATGGCCCAGCTCCAACCCCTCTGGGGACTGCAGCCCCCAGTGTCCCACGCAGGCATGGCCCCAACCATGCAGGGCACTGCAGCAGGGACTGGGAGCAGGGACCAGGAGCAAGGACCAGGGAGGACAGGGACCTCCTGCTCTCAGCAAGGCTCCAGAGGAAGAGGTAGAAAAGTTATCAGAGTTAGCTGGGGGCCCCTTTTGCACACCATGCTGCAGTTACTGGGTTAACAGGGGCCACCACCAGGCCATGCAGAGGAAACCTGCACCAGGAGGAGGAAGAGGAGAAAGAGGAAGGGGTATCGCACGGACCTTTTTCCTCTACAAGGGCAAGGAGAGAAGAGAGAGGTGAAAACTAACAAAAGAGAAGGGCAAAGGAGCAGAACCGAGAGGGGAGAGCACCCAGGCTGGCAGGGGCTGCAGCTCTGCAGGGACAGGTACCTCCTTCAGGCCGCGGTTCTTGATGTTCAGCTTCTTGGCATTGACGAAGTCGAAGAGCTTCCCATACTCCTCCCTGCGGGACAGGGGGGTGAGGGCCGGGGGCAGAGCCTGGGGCAGCGTGCCCTGACCCGCACCCACCTCTCGATGCTGCTGAAGGTGTACTGCGTGCCCTGCTTGGTCTCAATCTCGAAGTCGAAGGAGCGGGTGGTGGTGGTGCCGCGGGCGAAGTTGACGAAGCTGATCTCGTCGAAGCGGATGTGCACGGGCGGCTTGTGCACGTAGATGAACCCGCGCTCCAGCGGGTACAGCAGCCCCGAGCTCGCCTTGTACGAGCAGGTGATGCACTGCGCGCCCGAGTGCCTGCGGGAGGCCTGCCCTGAGCACCCGCGGGGGACCGGCACCTCAGAGCCCCGTGGCTGCTCCTGGCCCCACACGCAGCGCCCTCCGAGCACAGCAATGGACAGAAAGAGGGGCCAGATCCAGGGCCAGGGAGGGCTCTCAAACAGTGGCCTCAGCCCCCCAGAGCAGCAGCTCTCCCATCTTAGGAGCTCCCCATGAGCCATCAGTGAGTGCTTGGGCCCAGAACCTCCGCCGTGTGCTGGGTTGCATCACCAGAGCGTGAGCAGCAGCTCAGGGAGGGGATCCTGCCCCTCTGCTGGGCTCTGAGGAGACCTGAGAGCAGCTCCAGTGCCTGAAGGGGCTGCAGGAAACCTGGAGAGGGGCTTGGGACAAGGGCCTGTAGGGACAGGCCAAGAGGAATGGCTTGAACCTGCCCGAGGGGAGACTGAGCTGAGCTCTTAGGCAGAAGCTCTTCCCTGTGAGGGTGCTGAGGCGCTGGCACAGGGTGCCCAGAGAAGCTGTGGCTGCCCCATCCCTGGCAGCGTTCAAGGCCAGGCTGGACACAGGGGCTTGGAGCAAGCTGCTCCAGTGGCGGGGTCCCTTCAACCCAAACCACGCTATGTTCCTATGAGGAGGCACTTGCCTCACAGCAGGAAGATCCCACATCCCCCTGTCCCTCGGCCAGCAGCAGCAGCGTTCCTCACCCCTGGAAGTTCCCGGGCACGGTGATCTTGCGGTTGACCAGCGCCTTCATGACCCTGCTGACCATCTCGTAGAGGGACCCCGACATGTTCTTGGTGAGCCGCCCCTCAAAGCGTTTCTCCACCTCCTCCCTGTGCAGGCGCAAGGCCGTGGTGAGAGCAGGAACACAGCAGGTCCCTCACCTCCCTCCCGCTGCCCCAGAGCCAGCCCAAGGAAGGGGCCGGGCAGGAGAAGAGCTCACTCATTCATGTTGAGGGTCAGGGAAATGTCCTCATCCTTAGAGAAGAGCAGAATAAGGAAGTGGTAACGGGTCTGGCCTTGCTTTATCGGGGGGTCCAGGCTGATCTGAGGAGAGAAGAGGTGTTGAGGAGCTGAGATTCCCCTGCACCTCCCCGTTGCCACCCTCCCCGGGGCAGGGCAGGCCCCGGTGCCCCCCTCACCACAAAGAACATCTGCCGCTGGTCCTTGTGCGGGAGCAGGAAGAGGCGCAGCACCGTGGTGTAGGGGATCTTGTAGTCGAAGGTCTTGCCATGCAGGTGCAGGAACGTGGGGTAGATGCGGATGTCGTAGCGCCCGCGCGGCGTCAAACACTGCAGCTCCCGGAAGATGCAGATGGCATCGCCCGTGGCCTGGATCACATCCGCCTTGGAGAGCACGTTCTGGGCGAAGGCCTGCGAGGGGACGGAGCTGTGGTGGGGAGGAGGGACCCAGCTGGCCCCAGTGTGGCCCCGGAGCAGCCCCACAGCCCCCTCACCTCCACCGGGTCCACGCCGTCCTCCTGGGTTGGGGGCACGTAGAAGCGAACCTCCATGAGCGAGACGTCGGCGTCATCGTTCTGGTGGAACTCCAGCGTCACCTCGTTCTTGCCCGTGGTGCACTGGGACACGTTGCTCAGCGGGATCTCGAACACCGGCTGCTCCCCGATGTCAAAGGACAGGAGCTGCCCTGCGCCGGGGGACGCGCCCGTCACAGCGGGACCTGACCCACTGCGGCCCCAGACCCATCTCCAGCACTGGCCCTCCTCTCCTGCCTGCATCACCCCTGCATTCCCTGCCTCATCTCCAGGCTTCCTCCTCCTGGCTGCAGCCCCGGGGATGGGCACTGATCAGGCATGAACAGGAAGGAACCATCTGTTCCCATCTTCCCTTGGTCCCAGTCACAGGGCTGAGCCACCAGCTCCCGTGGCTCCCCCAGAACCTGCCAGACCTCGCAGCTCCCACCCTGACTTTCCCTTTACACAGAGCATTCCCTGCTGCAGGGAATCCCCTCCCCTGCCTCCCCTGGATCTGCCATCTCCTGCTCTCCCAGGCTCCATCCTGCCACCATCTCCACTGTCCCCAGGACACCCCAAGCTAGCAGGTGGCTGCCTGAGGCACTGCAGGCACAGCCACGCCGGTGGGAGCCCTCCAGCAGGACTCACCTCCAAACCTGACCGTGCCCCAGTTCCAGCCCTTCACACACAGATCCTTCTCGGTCAGCTCCAGGCAATAGTGGGTCTTGAAGAAATCCGAGAGCTTATCGAACTCCTGGGATGGGGCAGAAGGAGGGGGTGTCAGAAACCACCACACACGGGCTGCTGCCACCTGGGGCCGGGGCACGACCCAGCACACGGGCCTGGGGCCCCAGGAGCTGCCCCTGGGGCCGGGCACTCACCGACTCCCGGAACCCATCGTACTTGTAGACGTGGCCGTTCTTGGTGAGCAGCCTGAGGCCGTGGCCCAGCGCCACGCGCCGCCACACGCCCTCGGCCAGCTCCGAGGCCTGGATGTTGTCCACCTTCCCCGTCTTGCTGTTCTTGAAGATGACGCCCTGGCGGCTCAGCCGCAGCCGCCCATCGTTCTGTGGGGCAGAGCCACGGCCCCGTCACCGTAGCGCCCCCTAACCCAGCCTTGCTCCTTGCACCCCTCAGCACCCCCCTTGTTGTCCCCAGGCCCCACTGAGTTACAGGGGACCCGGCAGCACCCACCCCGTCCCCTGGGCCCCAGCGCCAGCCCCACGGAGCCCCCGCAGCAGGCACGGGGGGCGCGGGAGCTGCTCCAGCTCCGTTCCCAGCCGCACCCCGGGCGCTCACCATGGAGCCCTTCACCTCCTGGTAGATCTCGTTGAACTCCAGCGTGTCGGCCATGGCGGGCGCCGGGACCGGGGGCTCGTGGAGCCGTCAGTGCCCCCCCGCGCTGGCATCTCCCGGCAGCTGGGGGGGGGGGGGGAGCGGGGGGAGGATGGATCCCGGCTCCGCAGGGCCCGAGCCCGACCGCGACCCCCCGACCCGCTCTGATGGGGGGGGGCCGGACACCCATGGCCCCGCTTCCTGCCCCAGCGCAGCCACGGACCGGGCCCGCACCCCCTCCCCCCCGCACCCCATCACTGGTGCCGCCCCCGCCCCCGGTCCCCTCCATCCCGGCCCTTCCCCTCCCGGTGCCCCCCCCGCACCCCAACCCCACCCCCGCCCCCCCACCCCCCATCATGGCCTCCCCCCCCATCCCCGGGCCCCCACCCCCGCGCCTACCCCTCTCCCAACCCCACCGGATTCCCCCCCCCCTCCTCCCCCCTCCCGGTCGTCCCCCCCCCCCCCCCCCCGGTGCTCCCCTCCCCCCCCCCCCGCACCGCCGCCACTTTCCCGCCTGCGCAACACGAACCTCACGCGGAGCCTCCCCCGGGGCCGCCGCTGCCGCCGGAAGTCACCCCCACTTCCGCCATAGAGAGGCGCCGCTCTGGCCGCCGCTGCCGGAAGACCGCGCTGTCCAGGCAACGGGGCGAGACCATAGAGCGCCCGGAGGACTCCGCCTAGAGAGGACGCGGCGCTCGGCGCCCGCCCTGCCATAGAGCTGGTCGAGGAGCTGGGTAGAGCGGCCGCTCCGCCCGGCCGCGCCTGCCACGCCCGGTACCATACAGTTGACGGTCAGCGCCGGGCGGACCCGGCTCCCCCATGGGGAACCCACAGACCGGCACCCCCCAACCGGGCACCCCTAATGGAGCACCCCCAATGGGGCACCCCCCAACCGGGCACCCCAAACCGGCACCCGCCAATGGGGCACCCCCAAACAGGGCGCCCCAAACCGGCACCCCTCAATGAGGCACCCATAGACCGGGACCCCCCCAGTGGGGCACCCCGCCAATGGGGCACCTCAAACCGGCACCCTCTAATGGGGCACCCAGCAGCCGGGCACCCCAAACCGGCACCCCACAGTGGGGCCACCCATAGACCGGGAACCCCCCGTGGGGCACCCCCCAGTGGGGCACCCATAGACTGGCACTCACAGACTGGGAACCCCAATGGGGCACCTCAAACCGGTACCCCCCAATGGGGCACCCCGCAGCCGGGCACCCCAAACCGGCACCCCCTAGAGGGGCCACCCATAGACCGGGAACCCACAGTGGGGTACCTCAGACCGGGCACCCCTCAATGGGGCACCCACAGACTGGGAACCCCCAATGGAACACCCCCAAACCGGCACCCCCCAAACTGGGCACCTTAACCCTGCACCCACAGACCTGGCACCCCCAAACCGGCACCCCAATGTGACGCCCTCAGTGGGGCACCCGAGAAACACCGGGGGGGGGGGGGGAGCAGCCCAAACCGGGCACCCCCACATCAGCACCGCCGCCCCCAGCACCCCCAACCCGGACCCAGCTCGGGTACACACACGGGGGTGTCCCCCCCCCGAACCCCGCCTGCCCCTCATTCCCCCCCCCGGCCGTGACCCCGCCCCCGACCCGCCCCGTCCCGCCCCGAGCTGCCCGCACCAGCCGCTGCTGCCTGCACCCTGCCCGCAGCACCGCTCCCTGCCCGCACAGCCTCGGCACCAGCCCCGCTGCCCGTACCCTGCCCGCACCCTGCCCGCATTACCCCTCTCGCTGCCCGGCACAGCCCATCCATCACCCCACCGCCTGACCCCTGCCCGCTCCGCTGCCCACCCCGCCACCCACCCCGCCTGCACCACCCTTCTCGCTGCCTGTACCGCTGCCCGCTCGTGCCCTGCCCACATCCCCGCTCCCACAGCCTGAACACCGCCCTCGCTGCCTGTCCCCTGCCCGTCCCACCTCATCCCCCCCTTTCTGCCCGTCCCCTGTCCCTGCCCGCACCCCGATGCCGGCCCCGCGCCGCTGCCCGCCCTGGGCGATGCAATTCTTCTCGTACGAGACGCCCAAGTCGGTGGTGGTGAGGAGCTGGGTGGTGGGCGCCACGCACCGCGCCGTGCAGCTCCTCATCCTCGCCTACTTCATCGGGTGAGACCCCGGGGGGCCCCGGGGACGGGGCGGAGGAGGGCCGGGCAGCGCGGGGACACGAGGTGTGACAGTGCGGGTGCCACCGTGGGGCCAGCCGGGAGAGCGGGGACGGTGATGGGGTCAGAGCGGGGCTCCCCGGGCGGTGACAGCGGCCACGTCAGGTCACGGGTGGGTGACAAGCGTCTGTCGGGGGCACCCTGCGCCACTCGTGCCGGGGTTGCCGGAAGGCGCCGGCAGCTGTCGGGGGTGCCGGGGGCTGTCGGGGGATGCCGGGGGCTGTCGGGGGGTGCCGGGGAGCCCGTCCCAGCCGTCACCGTCCCCGCGGGTGCTGTCCCAGCTGGGTGTTCCTCCATGAGAAAGCCTACCAGGTGCGGGACACCGTCATCGAGTCCTCGGTGGTCACCAAGGTGAAGGGCATCGGGAGCTATGCGGGGCGCGTGCTGGACACGGCCGACTACGTCACCCCCCCCCAGGTGAGGCCGCGGGACCCCCCCATCCCACCCCACCCCGCACCCCCCCTCCCCTCCCCGGGCACTGGGGGTAACGGTGCCGTCCCCGCAGGGCACCTCCGTGTTCGTGGTGGTCACCAAGCAGATCCTGACGGAGCAGCAGGCGCAGGGGCTCTGCCCCGAGGTGCGGGGCTGCGGGGGCAGAGGGGGGGCGGCATTGGGGTGACAGCGCCCCCCCCCGCTCATCACCGCCCCACAGAGCGAAGCCGCGTTCCGGTGCCGCAGCGACCGCGACTGCCGCGACAGGAGCCCCACCAGCGGCAGCGGTGAGGGACGGGTAGCCGAGGACAGCCAGCTCAGCGCACCCATGGGCTGAGGCCGCCTCCCTCCGTGCACCCATGGGTGCTGGGGCTGAGACCGCCGGCTCAGCGCACCTATGGGTGCTCCGCAGGGCTGCTCACCGGCCGGTGCGTGCCCTACAACGAGACCCTGCGCACCTGCGAGATCCGGGGCTGGTGCCCACCCGAGGTGGACACGGTGGACGTGTGAGTGACGGGGACGCGGGGGGACACGGGGTGCACGGGGGTGCGTGTGCCCCCGCCGCGTGCCCAGGGCCACCCCGTTGTCCCCCCCAGCCCCATCATGCTGGAGGCCGAGAACTTCACCCTCTTCATCAAGAACAGCATCCGCTTCCCACTCTTCGGCTTCGAGAAGTGGGTGCCCAGGGGCCGGGTCGGGCCGCGGAGCCACCCTCCCGGCGCCGCCTCACGGCCGCGTCCCCCCCAGGGCCAACCTCCCCCCCCCCGGCGCCGGGGGGGACCTGGGGCGCTGCCGCTTCCACCCGCAGCTCCAACCGCTCTGCCCCATCCTGCGCCTCGGGGACGTGGTGCGGCTCGCGGGGCAGGACTTCCGCACGCTGGCCTCCACCGTGAGCCGCGCCGGGGCCGTGGGGCAGGGGGACACGGGCCACAGGGCACAGCGAGTGGGGCGTGGGGTCACAAAGATGCGGGATATGGGGACACGGGTATGTGGGATGGAGGATGTGGGGACATGGCGGGTGGGCATGAGGATATGGGACAGAGGAACATAGGGTGTGGGGACACAGGGATGTGGGATGCAGGGATACAGGGGTTTGGGGCAGGGGACGTGGGGACACAGGGATGAGGGATGTGGGGACATGAGACACATGGGGAAGTGGGACATAAGGGCATGGGGACGTGGGATGCGGGATACAGGGACGCAGGGATGTGGGATGTAGGGAGTGGGATGTGAGGACATTGGGACATGGGGTCACAGAGGAACATGGGTGTGGGTGCACAGGGTTTGGGATGGAGGACACAGGATATGGGATGGAGGACACAGAGACATGGAGACACAGAGATGTCTTGGGGGACACAGGGGTGAGGGCCATGGGTCTGCATGGACACCCATGGGGTGACACTGGCCCCGCGCGGTGGCGCAGGGGGGGGTGCTGGCCATCAAGATCGGGTGGGTTTGCGACCTGGACCGCGGCGGGGAGCGCTGCCTGCCCCACTACTCCTTCACCCGCCTGGACGGGCTGTCCCACGCCACTGGCTACAACTTCAGGTACGGCACGTGCCGGCACCGGAACGCGCGAGTGCCACACGTGTGCCCCATGGCCGTGTCCCCACGCAGGCACGCCCGGTACCACCACTGCCAGGACGGCCCCGAGCGCCGCACCCTCACCAAAGCCTTCGGCATCCGCTTCGACGTGCTGGTGTACGGCCACGTGCGTGTTGGGCCAGGGAGGCCATGGGGAGGGCTGGGGGGGGGGGTTGGGGGCCCCCCACCAACGGGATCTCTGCACCCCCAGGCCGGGAAGTTCGGCATCATCCCCACCCTCATCAACACGGTGGCAGCGTTCACCTCCATCGGTGTGGTGAGTTGTGGCCGTTCTCAGCCCCTTCGTGGCAGCATCTCCCTGGGTGGTGGGGGGAGCCCCCCTGTGCATAAGAGGGGGCCTGGGAGATGCCCTGAGCACCTCATAGGTGTGGGGCAGGGTGGCTGTGATGCTCCATAGTGATCGGGAGGGGTGGTGGAGAAGAACCCCGCAGACATGCAGTGTGCAGACACAGCAGAGCCCCAGCCTGGCTCCATGGGGGGCTGTGGGGTGTCAGCGGGTGCCCCATAGCGCCCCCCCCCACCCCAACACTACCACCCCAGGGCACGGTGCTGTGCGACATCATCCTGCTCAACTTCCTGAAGGGAGCCGAGCACTACAAGGCCCGCAAGTTCGAGGAGGTCAGTGGGGCTGGGGCTGCCATGGGGCTGGGTCAGGCCACACAGGGGGATGTGTGGGGCTGGATGGGAGGTACACGCTCAGGCAGTGCCTCTGACCCCTGCGGTGCCCTGGCCATGGGGCAGGGACTAACCCAGGCCCACGATCTGCCCCCCAGGTGCCAGAGGCAGACATGGTGCAGTCCCCGGGCAGCCCCACGGCGCCGGCCCCCGGGGGGCTGGGCCTCTGCCCCCGGGACAAGCAATCCACGGACTCTGGCACCTTCTCCCTCGGCCACTAGCACCAGGCACAGGGATGTGGGGGGGACCCTGGGCTCCGGCGGTGTCCCATAGGGGCCACCCAAGGTTTGCACTGGGGCCACGGTGCCCAGGACTCATTGGGACCCCCAAGAAGCTCCAACTGCCCCATCTGACCCCGGTGCCCACCCTGGGTGCCCCAGCCATGTCCCTGTGTCCCAGTGCCCATCACTGCGTGTCCCAGCCCTGCCCATGTCCCCAGGGTGCCCCAAGCCCTGAGGTGCCACTTTCCCATGGGCCTCCCCCACTTCCCCAGGTCCCTGAGGCTCCCACATCTCCACCCAGGGTGGCCGGGAGGGCTGGGGCTACTTCCTGGGTCAATGGGTGCTGCTGGGTGCCAGGGCTGAGCCCCCTGGAAGAGTGTTGAGCCCCCCAGTGACCCCAGCACCCCCCTGCTCCCCCAGCCCCACACCGGGGGCTGCACCCCCTACCCCAATAAACCTTTGGCACACTGCACCCAGTCTCGAAGCTGTGCTGGGGAGGGGTCATGAGGGGTCTGGGGGCAGCGAATGCCCAACCCCATAGCAGACACTGGAGAAGCCCCAGGAGTGGGAGGTGCTGCCCAGTGAGCAGAGGGGTCGTCGATATTTATTCCCCCCCAAATGCACCCCAGCCTGGGGCAGAGCTCCCCCAAGTCCAATAGAAAACAGGGTTTTGGGGTGCGGGGCTCAGTGGGTCGCCTCGTCTGGGGTCTCGGTGCCGGGGGCTGCTGCCAGGGGGGTGCCGGCAGCCCCCAGCTCCTTGGCTTGGTGCCGGCACTCGCGGGCCACCACCACGGGGCTGACGAAGGCCAGGAGCACCACGGCAATGAGCCCCAGGTTCACCTGTGCGGGTCAGGGTGCAGGGTCAGGGGTGCTCACCCTACCCTAGGGGTGCCCTGGGCCAGCCTCACAGACCCCCCCTGGTCCCCAGTGCTTGGTGCAGGACCCCCATTCCCTGTGGGGCAGGACCCACCCAAGGGGCAGCCCCCCACCCCTCCATGGGGCAAGACCCATTCCCCATGACAGGACCCCCATCTCCCTCTGGGGCAAGACCCATTCCCCATGAGACAGGACCCCCATCTCCCTATGGGGCAAGACCCATTCCCCATGAGACAGGACCCCTGTCTCTCTATGGGGCAGGACCCCCACCCCTCAATGAGGCAAGACCCATTCCCCATGAGACAGGAACTCCACCTCCCTATGGGGCAGGACCCCCACCCCTCCCGGGCAGCCACTCACGTAGAAGGGGTCCCCTTGAAGTGGCCCCTGCACCAGCGCCACGCAGGGGTACTGCAGCAGTGCCACCAGCGCCGACAGCGCCATGGCCAGGCCATAGAGCTTCCCGAAGTGCTGCGGGGGGAACCTGCGCCGCCACGCGCCGTGTCACCGTGAACCACGGCACCCTGACACCCCCACCCTGGCCCCACCACCCCCACGGTGACCCCAACACTCTGTCCCCTGCCACCCCTCCAACCCTGCCACTATTCCCCATCATCCCAGTGACCCCATCACCCTCTCCCCTGCCACCCCTACCCTGTCCCCTGCCGCCACCCATGCTGCCCCCCCCCACCCTTGGTGCCCATGCGCCGCTGGTGCCCGCACTCACGCGATGGCGAGGAAGGCGGCGTTGCCGCCGTAGAGGAAGGAGCGGCTGAGCACCTGCAGCACGAAGGTGCCGAACTGGACGGGCAGCACGGGCACGGCCGCGGCGATGGAGAAGAGCAGGCCCAGCACCACGGTCACCACCAGCGACAGCACCGACGCCTGCAGGTCAGCCAGCGCCCCCAGGGCTCCTGCGGGACCGCGGCGTCAGGGCTCGGCCTAACCGGGGACACGGGGGGGGGGAGGGGGTGGCAGCGCCGGGACGGGGGCGGTTACCGTCGGGGTGCGGGGCCTTGCCGCGCTTGTGCCGGTCGAGGATGAGTCCGTTCCAGGGCGCGCAGAGCACCCCGCAGAGCTGGGTGAAGGCGAAGGCGTTGGTGTAGGTGCTCACTGCGGCGGGGGGGACGGGGGGGACACGGGGACAGCGTCAGCGCGGGCCGGGCGCGCTCCCGAGTGTCGTCCCCGTCCCCCCGCGCCCGCACGTACCGAGGCCGGCGTCGCCGCGCGCCAGGCGCTGCAGCCCCGGGTTGAGGGTGCCGATGAAGAGGTAGTGCCGCAGCTGCAGCGCCGACAGCCACGCCACGTGCCACGCGAACCGCGCCGAGCGCGCGCACGCCGCGAACGGCACCGCGGGGGGGACGGCGGAGCCTGCGGGGGGGGGGGGGGGGGGCGGGAGTGTGAGACACGGGCACGTGCGCGCCGGCAGGCCCCGCCCCCCGCAGCCCTTGGCCCCGCCCACCCCGCACGCGTAGGTGTGGCCACGCCTACACTTCCTTTATCTGAGTAGCACCGCCCACCCATCCCGCCACACCCATCCACGGCCTGAGGCCACGCCTCCGCTATCTGCACAACCCCGCCCGCCTCATTTACATAACCAGCACCCCCTGTGTGGTCGCGCACATGGTCACGCCCCCCCCCCCCCCGCCCCAGCCCCGCCCCTCACCTCGGGGCGCTACCGGCTCCAGCGGCGTCTCCTCGGGCCCCGCCTCCCCCGGCGGCCGCTTCTCCTCGTAGGTGCGGTAGGAGCGAGACCGGCCCGGGCAGCGCAGCCTGGGACCAGCACGGCAGCCATGGCACCAGCACCGCAGCCATGGCACCAGCACCGCAGCCATGGCACCAGCACCGCAGCCAAGGCACGAGCACGGCAGCCATGGCACCAGCACGGCAGCCAAGGCACGAGCACGGCAGCCATGGCACCAGCACGGCAGCCAAGGCACCAGCACCACTGCCATGGCACCGGCACCGCAGCCAAGGCACGAGCACGGCAGCCATGGCACCAGCACGGCTGCCATGGCACCAGCACCGCAGCCATGGCACCAGCAATGCAGCCAAGGCACCAGCAACAGGGACCACCGCCCAGCACAGCACGGGAAGGACCAACCCGCACGGGACAGGGCCACCATTGGGTACCAGTGGGAGTCATCACCACCCACCACAGGATGGGACCCAAACCCATGGGATGGGAACCACCACTGAATACCAATGGGATCCCTCACCACCCATCTCAGGATGAGACCCACCACCACCCATCATGAGACAGGACCCACCACCCATGGGATGGGAAACACCACTGGATACCAATGAGCAATGGGACCCATCACCACCCACCACAGGATGGGACCCACAACCCATGGGGGGGGAACACCAACCATCCAGTATGGGGCCCACCACCACCCATCACAAGACAGGACCCACCACACCTGGGATGGGAACCACCATTGAATACCAATGGGACCCCTCACCACCCATTTCAGGATGGGACCCACCACCACCCATCACAAGACAGGACCCACCACCCATGGGGTGGGAACCACCATTGAATACCAATGGGACCCACCACCACCCACCACAGGATGGGACCCAGCACCACCGATCACAACACAGGACCCACCACCACCCATCACAAGACAGGACCCACAACCCATGGGATGGGAACTACCATTGGATACCAATGAGCAATGGGACCCGTCACCACCCACCACAGGATGGGACCCACCACCACCCATCACAAGACAGGACCCACCACCACCCATCACAAGACAGGACCCACCACCCCTGGGATGGGAACCACCATTGGATACCAATTGGACCCATCACCACCCACCACAGGATGGGACCCAAACCCATGGGATGGGAACCACCATTGGATACCGATTGGACCCATCACCACCCACCACAGGATGAGGCCCACCACCTGTGGGGTGGGAACACCAACCATCCAGTATGGGGACCACCACCACCCATCACAAGACAGGACCCACCACTCCTGGGATGGGAACCACCATTGGATACCAATGGGACCCATCACCACCCACCACAGGATTTGACCCACCCCCCGTGGGGTGGGAACACCAACCATCCAGTATGGGGCCTACCACCACCCATCACAAGACAGGACCCACCACAGGATGGGACCCATCACCGTCACCCATAGACCCGCCACCACCACCACCCCCCCCCACCACGGGATGGGTGCTGCTGCCCCATGGGGCAGAGGCAAGGCCTTCCCTACCCGTAGTTATAGGCGGGGGGCAGCGGGTAGGGGATTCGGGTGCGGGGCATGAGGAAGAGGGTGCGCAGCAGGTGCCAGGCGCTGCAGGCTGCCATGAAGAGGAACATGGTCCGCAGGGACAGCCCATGCCCATACAGCACCTACGGACGGGGACGGGGACAGGACAGGCTGGTCGGCCACCCGCCATTGTCCCACCCTGGGGCCACAGTCCTGTATAGCCCCACTGTGTCCTCATGATGGCCCCAGCAGTGGCTCAATGGTGGCCCCGGCCATGTCCCCAGTGGTGGCCCAACTGTCACCATCTCTGTCCTCAGCCCTCCTCACGGTGCCTGTGCAGGGGCTGGGCCCCTGGGGACACCCAGCACCCCGCTGTGCCCACCTTGATGATGAGGAAGATGGCAGATGAGGAGTCGAAGGCCCCATTGTAGAGGGTGATGATGATGGAGCGGTACTTCCCAAAGAGATTGCCCACCTGGCATGGAGAGACCCTCCTGTGCCATCAGGATCCCCCAGCACCGGGTGTCCCGGCCACTGACTGGGGGTCAGGGTGCTGGGAGCTCACCTGCATGTTGGTGAGGATGAGGAGGATGCCACCCACCGACAGCATGGACATGGCAGGGAAGAGCAGCACCGACAGCCCTGGAGACACAGGGGTCAGCGGGCACAAGGGGGGTCCCCAACAGGTCCCCCCCAAAGCCCACGGGGTCTCACCTGGGGTGGAGAAGGCAACGAGCAGGGTCCCGCAGGTATAGAGGGAGCTGCAGGGTGAGGACAGTGGTGACAACTGGGGCAGGGTCCTGGGGAGGGTGGCACCCCCACACCCCATCCCACCCAGCACCCCAATATCCCATGAATGCTCCTGGGGACACCGGGGGAGCCCTGGGGACATCAGGGAGACCTGAGGGC